AATATTTCGTTTTCTCTTGCATTATGATCATGAAAATTGGTACATTACCATTTTTTAAGACGATAAATAACAATTTGGTATTAGTTTTGATTTATCTTTCAGATGGCACTGCTTGCCTTAAAAAACTCCTTTAAAGTAGACATATCCTTTTCATCGTTAAAATTTTTGCAACTCACACAACTTGAAATAGTTTCTCAGACATTTTTACATAAATTTGGTATACCTACCAATCTTCTCTAAAGTTCTCAGTTTCCAAGATAATCACTGTTTAAAGGCACTTTGCAAAATTTAATTATGCTCAGTAAACATTAGTTGGCGTTGAAAATTATTTTATTTCGTCAAACACTAGACTAACATCCTCAATTGGCATTAATACTACAGTATTGACATTAATACTAGAGTATTAATGCTAATTGACAGTGAAAATTATTAAAGAAAAATGAAAATAAAGTATAAACTTTACCCATCTGTATCTTCGTTATTAGTAACAACGAACAAGTAGACACAAGTAGACTAAGATAAATTGGGTTAAATCGTAATAATTTAATGTAAGGAATTCACTGTTGCTCTTTGTCCCATTAATAATGGACCAGCCTGTATAAGACGAATGGTTAATAATTTTCAAGGAAAAAATCTTGCAAATAATAAATTGAATTGACACAATAACAACTTTTAATATTTTACCGAAAACTCAGTGTGTCAATTCAATTTTTTAATTTCTTTCTAGAAAATTATTAACTTTAGAACGCTAACATCTCATACTAAAATTAATTAGTGTTTCAGAAAATAAATTGTAATTTTGGTTAGAAACTTTTTTGTGGACAACCTATATTATCAATTTAATAGTGAAAAAGTGTCCCTTTATGTTTATTTTCTAACTGCAAATGCGCTCCCCAAACAAACAGCACATAGTAGAATTATGATTTTTTTCCGAATTTTATACACACACTATAATAAAAATTTATTTTAAGGTAAAACCGCAAAATACCGCAAGAATTTCCTTATACTACAACACGTATACAATATTACTTTTGAACAATCTTAAAGAATTTATTCTTTGTCCATCTAAATATCGTAAAATAAATTATTTTCTCAATTTCAACATATGTTGTCATAAAACAATATTACAAAAATACTAATTACCGAATTGTTGCTTTCTGTATATTATACAATTCTACTTACCACCAGCAATAGGTTCTATGATAAATTTTCGAAATATATAAAAAAGTTAAAGAAAAAAATTAATTAAAAACAACAATTTTTACCGACGTTTTATCTAGGTGTAAAATGTGGTGCCAAATATTAGGTGCCAAATATTTTGGCGGCGATTGTTACAATAATTATAAATAAGGTGTTTCAAGGCACCTTGGGTTTACTTAATCAAATAGTAATAATTGCATTTTCAATCTTATTCTTAAATTTTTCCAATTTTGACCGAGATTTTTAAAAAATTCGCCTGTGATGGCGGAAACAAACTTACTGGAAAACTTCTTACTTATTTGCAAGCGTTACAAATACTATCGAAACAGCAGAAGGATTCAGATATGGAGATAGCTTAAGCATTCCTGTTCAACTTTTTAATGGATGAAATTATACAACAGGTGGCATCATTGAATGGGGATTGAACTGGGATACAGAATGAGCATCAAAAGGAGCAATACAACTTTTTGAATTCTACCAGTCAGCCCGACTGCACATTTGCAAAGATGGTTGTTACATCCATTAACTCATGGTTATCGAATTAAATATAAAGAGGGTACAGAAGAAGACATAAATATGATTTATGGCACCAGCCATGTTAGCGGAAGTTATCTACTCGTTGAAGTACACAAAAAAATAGTTATCCATTAAATTAACGTTTTAAATATTTATACTTAACGCGTTTAGGTCATAAAAATAGTATGTAAAAGGTAATTGTAATAAAAACTTCTTACTTGCTTATATTATTTTTATTTTATATGGTACTAGTTTCGGGCAATGAACCTGCCCATCTTCAGCCAAATCTATACAATAATACATCGAAATTAGCTTTCAAGCAGAAACAGAGCACAAATGAACGCAAAAAAAACGAAATAAAACAAAACACTTACTGTCAACAATAAACTAAATGTAAGAATGTGTTGTTCAAACTCATAAACATATATGTTGACGAAAATCAAATGTACTACTGAATCAACATTGACAATTAAATACACTAAACGAAAAACTGAACACACGTTATTTTGTAAACACGTCATAATTGTCAGAAGATAAAATGAGTTACATGAAGTTAGCCAACAACGTTTCGAAACCGTATCTAAAAATATAAAATTATGAATTTAAGTTTTTTAAATATGAAAATAAAGGTTTTTCATATATTTCCAATTGTTCGTTGAGTAAAATTATATTTTTATTTAATTTGTGTTTCTGTATTTCCAAAATTTCATAAAGGTCTAGCTTTTTACCTTTTTACCTTCTCCTTATGCAGAAAACATCATCAACATACCTGTTCCATTTATAAATGTGTCTTTTATAAAAATTAGCAACGTTCATTATCTTTGATTTTTCTATATGATCCAGAAAAATGTTGGCAATTAGCCCTGATAGTGGCATACCCATGGCTAAACCCTGTGTGATTGTATAAAATTCATATTAAAACAACAATAGTTTTGTTCAACTATATATTTTAATATGTTGTTAATGTCCTATGTTTAATATTATATTCGCGACATTATTGCAGTACACCAGTCATTTTCACAAAAAAATTCCAATACATTTTTTTCTTTCAATCTTGAGGTTAACAGTTCTGATCCTTGATTTGATAAATTGAGATCACGTATTAAATCACTGAGTTCATTTTGAGAAAATAACTTCGGCGTAGATGTTTCACCTTCCCATTCACTTCCACTGGTAGACTGTTCCGATTTCTGTGAATTTTGGCAACATCATTGTTTCTGAGGGCATGCGAATTACTTTTGAAACGTAAACAGGCCGAGGGAGATTTTCACTATGTAGAACAGGACATTTTCTAGACTGTAAGTCTGGATATCTCCACGTTTGATTTCGATTAAAACCTTTAGCATCTATACGCAAAAGTAACAATTATCCAAATGATTCTTAGGCTCCATCCAGATCATAGGAATACCAAAGTCTAATCCAGAACGTTCTCCTTGTTTCCACAACCGTAAAGCCTCAACACAGGACTTACAAACTTTATAAGGAACCTATGATTTATCTAGTTTCTCCATTTTAAAACCGAAATATTCAGCATAAGTCTCCTCGAGAAAGTCTGTGATAATACTTTTTTGTTATATAAACACCGCAAATATAACAAAATAAATCACTACTATATTTATACTTTCTTCGTGACGAACTCATGTTTTAAAAGATAAGATAAATATTATTAAAATGGACATTCAGTAATTAAAACAAAATATAAACACGTGACAATTTATCCAGATTCACGTCTAAGTACTTCAATATTGTCAAATAACTGAGATCTCAGCTTTTCTGCGGAGCAAGGGGTCTGAGAGTGGGGATCACGTGATATTTGTAAGCGCGAAAAAGTTGCGCAGAAGCCTAATCATGACTGGGAAAATAAATATTATTACTAACAAGCCGAGAGTTGTTCAAAACATAAGATATGTAAAAATTATAAAAACAAGAGCACATTCGGTACTTTTATGAATATATTCGTAATCTGGGCATTTGAAAACATAAAAATTTGCATAGATTTTGAATTTGCAAAATAGTATATTATTATATGAGCATATAATGAGGGCTATTATTCATGAAGGTTAAGTTTATGTCACAAGCGTAGCGAGTGGCATCATGAACCTGAGTGAATAATAGCTTATTATATGCGAGTAGAATACTATACTTTGTCCTCGACTATTGAAATTGATTCCATTAATTTATTTTTTAAATAAATTTTTGAATAAAGGTTAAACGTCAATGTGACACAAATTCAATGTTAGTAACTGTAACCAACTTCACAACAATTTGTCAAAATTAAATGTCAGTTTTATAAAACGTCGTTTTCTTTAAGAAAATTAATTAATTTATGCTTAAATCATACGAAAAAAGGAATTTGTTTAGGTTTTTTTAATGTCAAACCTTTAGAAACTCCTAAAAAATTGAATTAAATTGACGTTTTTAGAAATTTTAACGTTTCAAATCATAATTATTAGTCTGTCAAGTTGGCTACCCGTGAATGCCCGTGAATAATGATTATTATTCACCGCTATTATTCACTCCGTGAAAAATGACTACCATTTTGTTTTAGAAAACTCATTCATAAGGTATATATTATAAGGTAGTCGTGGACAAAAATATATTTTGTTGTAGAGCTGTGTATTGGTTTTTATTTGCTGCCACCACTTCTTGGCTTCAGGTTCGTCTTTTGTGTGGGTGTTTTGTAGTTTATTTGCCAGTCTGTTTTTGTGGAGTTTTTGAGTACTTTCTGTCAATACAATCAATGTTATGTTTTTTCATGTATATGGGCTTCTTTTTGGTCTTGTTAGGTCGTTCCTATACTATTTTGCATAAAATAAAGTTGTGATCAGTACTCAGGTTGAGACTCTGTTATTATGAAGTCAATCATAGATCGTTGTCCTGTGGAGTTGCAGAAAGTATACTTGCGCTGTATTTTGAACGAGAAGTATATATTATT